TCCCTACATGACACACAGTAATGCACCCAGAAATAGATCAACTTCATTGCTTTCCAGAAACACTGCAGTTAGGCAGGGTAAGAGAAACAACTTCAGAAATTTTCACACTTTTCTGTGCGCTTCCTTCCTTGCTCTGAACAGTCCCCAGATACAACCACCCTTCTTCCTGTTGTCACAAAGGTACAACTGGATTTGTTTTGTTCCAGGAGATGCTGTTCTCCAAGTAGCTTGAGTGTGCTCTGCTAAAATTCCTAAGCAGAGGAATTTGTAGCACTGTGAAGTGGACACAGGAATCAACCTGGCTTCTCTGCCTGTTTTCATTGTTTCGTGCAGTGGGATCCTAAACATAGAGGATGTTTTATTTCCCTGCTATCTGTTCTCCTGAACTTGTCAGACCTTTTGATCTTTTGAAATACCCTATTTCAGTTTTCATGCTGAACTGTCTCTTATTTCACTGGTTTTCAAGTTAACATAGGGAGGACTTGAAAACGTTAACATTTTCTTATAATCTGTGTTAGATGTAACTTCATTCAAATAAAACAAACCCAAATACAATTTCTTTTAATGATGCTATAGACCTATCTTAGACAGAACAGAGGGTTATTTTTTGTCATGTATGTTCACAGAGAACAACGTTAAATTCAGCATTTGTCAGGATTACAGGATTTTGTTCGATGTTGTTTTGGACACCTATAAAATACTATCATTAAGAGATACTTACAACAGCAGGTGAGGGGACATGAATGCTGGGAACAGATCGGGGACGCACGTGATTAGCTAAATGGCACAGAACAACACCATCAGTGAGAGCTGCTCCAAGATCACTGGGCAACGATACTTTCAACCGTGATTCTATATTCTGTAGAAAAATGAACATGGACATACAAAAAGTAAGAGCTGGCTTCCTCCAACTGTTTCATTCTGTGGAACATTTTATAAGAGGCAGGGTGCTTGCCTTACAACTCTCTGTCCATCCTCATGACATTTCCAAAGAGTCTTCTGAATAACATCAAGGAAAGCTCTGTGCACTATTGTGACCAAGAGCTGACCACAATCTGGGAGCAACTGAGTTCAATGATGCAACAGTTTTCATTGTACAGCACAGGGGACTAATACAACCATTATTCAAAAATAATGGAAATCAGGGTCTAGGAACAGTATTCCTAATCCTACATATTCTCAGAGAATGGTTCTGCCAAGGGAACTGAAAATAATTGTCTTTGTGGGTTGGAGGACAACACAGTTAACAAAAGTCAAGACAACATTTTTGCCTTTAAGTAAAAACCTGAACTACTTGGCAGAAATAGTTTTTTTAAAATGAGGTAGTTAGCATTTGTGTAAGGGAACAAATAAAAACTAGGTTCAGGCTTTTCATCTAATTTCAAACACTCTGTGTATTTCACAGAGCTGTTATGCTGTATCTAAATTTTTTTTAAGTATTAAAAAAAAAGAAATATTTAAGCTTACCTGGGAAGCAGAACAAGAGACAGACTACATACAAAGCATTCCGAGGTAACAGAAGAGAGTTTCTGCAAACAGCACCAAGTTTTGTTTTGTTTTATTTAAGGTAACTCTCTCCTTTTAGAGAAAGGAGACTGTCCGTACTTTAAAATTTAAAATACTTACAAAAAGAAGGAATTCTCTCTGTGCATCTGGGATGCTTATGGATTTTTAAATCTGCTTTAACAAGCAGGAATTGTTATTTCTTGGGAAAGTTCAAACAATTTATCAGAGCACCTCAAGGAATCCCTTCACGCTCTCCAGAAACAAGTCTAGGGCAGGGCAGAGCAGCACCTTAATGCCATATGGCATTTTTCAATACTCATGTCATTGTACCTGGGCACAAACGAGGAGTGTGGTGGCCCTGAACAGACAAAAAGCACAAGTATAAGGAATATTTGTGCCTCAGATGTTCTGCACTTAACTAAGGATAAGGCAAGAATCAATAGATGGATCCAGAGCACAGAAGGAAACCATGCTGTCAGCATGACTGGCAGTAGTCTCTGCACTCCATCTGCTTTTCTGTGAGCTTTACAGCAAAGAGGAGTTTTAAAAAAAGAGATTAAAAGGAAGACAGTGAGGCAAATTCCCATGGAGTTCCTTACAAGTGTGAAGGCTGATAAGGAAGAAAGCACACATTCATTTTAAAAGCAGAGATCATCAGACACTCAGAAGCAGGAGTCAGCATGGTTTATATTACAGAATTCGAAGCTGACTTCATCTACCACAAAAATCAAAGTGAACACCATTGCATCCATCTGAAAGAACCACTTAGACCGTACAACGCCATTTAATTTTGCTCAACTGTGCACCATACTGGTTCAGTGAAATCGGTCCAAAAGACAAAGACACATTTAGCAATGCATTTACTAAGAGGTTCACATACTCCTGGCAGGACTTACCTTACGTAGCTGCTCTATTAGCTCCAGCTCTTCCTCTCGCTGTTTGGAGTTCTGTCTTACTCTAGGGTCTGCAGAATCATTAGCAGGAGACAAGGCATGGGTAGAAGATGAAGTAACAGCTAAAAAGAAGCATGAAGAAAAAAAATAATTCACTAAGCATGGTTTGTCTGATTGACTTTCACTGCTGTACTATACATGCACACACAAGGTTCCAGAGTGGGTATACTGCATTCCTTTTCACAAATCTGTTTCTTTCATTTGATTATTAATCAAACTAATGATCTACTAATCTAAACGAGGTGTTCTTTAGCACATTTTCCTTTCTGTTTAGATTCTGTTCTTTCTGTTGGATAATAATCATTCACAATGGAGGACAAAGTTTTGCCAGATGGAGTATGTTGAAACAGTTCAGTCTTCCTACAGAAATTGCAATTCTGCTATGTGCTACTGCACAATGCAAAATTTATCAAGCTGCCTTCATCAGTTGTTGAAGGCTTTTGTGGCTTTTTCTTGGTATCTAAAAAGTTACCAAGAGGTATACACCTTTTATAAAGGTGTAAGCACAGACCAGGAAGAACAAGCTCCCATGTTTCTGCAAATACGAATATTTGACAGCTCTAAATAAAAACCTGCTTATTCACCAAGTATTTAATGCCATGCATCTACAAATGGAACTCTAAAAGTAGTTTGATGATAATGACCTGAAGTAACAGTGTAAAAACTAGGTAATGTGGATGTTAATATAACATAGCAAAACTAGCTAATTTCTGAGCTTCACAACCTACCTTTGTTTGCTTCATCCCTGACAGCTGCTCGGAAAAGGAAACTCTCAGGTCGCTGGGAAGGGTTTCTATAGGAAGGCGGGGCTGCATGGCCAGGATATGGAGGGAAAAGGTGGACTAAACAAATGTGGAAAGGCACAGGAAAGGAAAGGAGGAAGAAGGAAATGGTTAGAGTTTAAATAGGAAATGGGTTCAGCAATGTGGCAATTAAAAAGAACAGAACAAAAATTTTAATATAATAATGACAAAATAAATTACAGCCATGCATGATAAAAGCGCAGAGCAGGAAAAGGCACTTCCAGGGACACTTGCATGCAAAGCACATTCCACATACCAATTCCAACAACTGTTCCGACTCTTGCTGAATGCATCTGTGCGTCAAAGCCCCTATGAAGGCCTAAACCAGCCAAACCCTATGCTCTGAATGAGGACATGCTTCACCCCTGTTGTCTCTTCCCTCATGTGTTTCTAAGGAGACCCAAATAACTGGGTAAATTCTCAAACAGAGCAGTGCCACATACAGAGACAGGAACATACGCTCCCTTTTCATAGGACAAATAAGATCAAAATGCCTGCTTGCTTATTTTTCAGAAATTTTTCTTCCTTTCCCTGTTACCTGTCTGAGTGGTAGGTGAGCCAGGGGAGATGGCAGATCTGTCATCACTCTGTGGACAAAAAAAGCAGAAGAGTATAAATGGTCCTAATCTGGAAAAGCTGTGACGACATTTTAATTTGCTGTGTTCTACAAAAATGCTCCATCCGCCTAAATGTATTTCAGAAAAAAACCCCAGAAATGTGAAAAAACACAGTACGTTGCTCTCCCAGTCTCATCTCTGCAGAAAGTGACAGTTTTTTCTTTTGCAGATATGACACAATTGCTTTTTTCTGAGGAAAAAGAATGATGAAATAACACTCACTGTGCAATGACAGAACTTTGTTTACTCTTTTTTCCAACCAAAACTTTCAAAGTATTCTTTGCAAAGGGACACAGAAAAACAGATAATTAAATAACATGCAGAACTTGCATTACAGCAGCACCAATAATGATAAGCCTGTTCGACACTTTTGCTAACGCAAAACTGCTATTTACTGAACATTGCTCTCCCCAGTGAAACACACTGTGGTTTCATTACAGTGCTTACACAGACTAATGATTTCTTGTGAGGAATGTATTCAGTATAGCAGTTTCCACAGAAGAGAAAGAAATATAGGACATCTGTATTCAAAAGTAGGCTGGTAAAGAATACAACAAGAAAGAACACTTTTGATGAACTCAACTTGGTCAAGGGTACAGAAAAAGCAATATCAAAGACAATCAAGAACACCCTGGAGCAGAGACTGGTTACCATGTTTTTAAAGTTTAGGCCTCCGGTAGACACAGCCTAAAGCTAAGATGAGGTAATATCTACTACAGTTTAATCAGGTAAATTGGATTCATACCCTACCTGAACTTTTCATTAGAAGCTGACAGACTAACACCTGTTAAAACAGATGTGTGGATCCAAGAGTTTTTTGTTGGCTTTACTGGTGAATGATAATAGCAAGAGATACCTTGACAGTACTGAAGGTAGAGGCATTAGGCAAGGTAGTAGCAGAGCTTTCTTGATTCAACCCTGAGAGTGACTGAATGCAGAAAGAAAGAGAAGGCAGTAGCAGTGTTAGCAAATGGCTGATAGGTCATGCACAAAGGTGGAATGCAGTAGACAAAAAGGAAGAGTCATCACAATCACATTCTCAGAAACAGTCAACAGATACATACTTGCTGAACTACAGTTAAAGCCTTCCCACCCTCCTGAACTTTCTGGTTAATAAGCTTGGGAAGTGTGATGTTTCTTTTACATAGTGTAAAAGATGTCACTTTTACAGTGACATCAAAAGCAGAACTAAGACCAGCAAGGCAAAAGCTTCTTTAGTAACACCTAATGTAGCACGTATGGCATCAAGCAAAAAGAAATTTTACCCTACAACAGTTCATTCTGAGCTACTATTAAAAATAAATAGCTTTCTTTTTATTGTTTCAAGTATGTTACGCGTTTTTAGTAAGTTATTTTCCTAATCAACTTTGTAAAAATCAGAGAAACACACATCTAACAGGCTCAACAGACACACTTTATGTCTGCCACAAACATCTAATGCTGATGCTTGTGAATTACACACAAAGTAAATAAGATCCTGTGGGTAGAATCTAGCTCTTGGGGAAGATGTCAGTGTGAAGATTTACAGTGTTGTCACAAATAAGCGCAGCCAAATTTCGATTATAACCAATATCAAAACCAACCAAATAAACACCTCTTCACGTTTACAGAACAGGAACTCCAGCATACCAATCTGTCACTGACAGGTGGATCTAGAATGCCAAATTCTGTAACTTATTGACAGCACAATCAAAATGTTAACATTTGAGGACTGAATGGCTCAAGAATGAAACTATACTTTCCGAAACAGCATTCAAATAGCAAAGAGGCAGTTCTGCACAGGAAAAGAACATCAAATGACATCTAGAAACTCTACAGATGTGAACACCACACTTGGGAGTGTTTGTATTTAATGATTTGCAACTATTCTGCCACTTCAGAACAGTACAGCCAGGAAGGACTAGAAGCAGAGGTTATACCCAGGGAAAGCCTTAAACACAAACATCATCAGGCCCTACGCAGACTTAACTGCTGATCCTCCAGGGAGCCTCTTTCTCCACCGCAGTGTAGAGCAAAAATAATGGATTTCTTTTTGTTTGTTTGTTTTAAAGACTTTCAAAATATCACTTAGGGAAAACATTAGCTAGTATACCAGAACTGTAAAATAAACCAGAAGTAGGTGGTCTGTAACATTAACGTAACTGTTTATTCCTGTATGAAAAGAACAAGACAACCTTGACACAGACTAACAAGAAGTCGTCACAATCCACATACCCAGCAGTGGGCGAAGGGAAGGGGAACACGGCACACCACAGGGTAGGACAATCACAACAGCAACACACTGCATGCTCTTCACCTGTTTGCGAGTCCCTGGCCTTCTTTTAATGGTATTGGTGTTATTGTCAATCTCAAACACAAAGAGAGGCTCAAAGCCATTCTGTCAGGGACAGCAAGGAAAGAAAGAGAGGGAAGAAAGGAAGAAGTGAGGCAAAGAACAACTGTAAGAAAAGGTAGCCACAACACAAAAGGAACCAGGACGCTGCAATTCAGATTTACAACACCCTACGGCACTTGGCCTCTAGGTCTAGCACTGAAGTCAGAGAAACCTCCCTGTGTCAGAAACAACCGTAGATACAGGGACTGCCAAAGCAGAGCCCAACCAGAACCCTGCACGAACCAAATAAGTATATTTTAAGGGAATCTGATTATTAAATGTTTGAATACACAAATGGATGCCAATGGTCTGAGAGAAAACTCGAGGGTACAAGTTAGCATAATTCAAGTCCTGCTTACTTTACCCATACCATTATTATTTGTAACACACTGGGGCCTAAAAGCCTTAACTTAAAATGTTTCAGAGATCCCATGTGCTAACAGTAACACAATGGCCCCAGGCCATGTTTGAGACCACAACAAGAAAACACAATGCAATGAAGGGAGCACAAGGCAGCAATGACACAAAAGTTATGAAAGGAAGAGGTCACACCAGCTGCCTGATGCTTATCAAGTGTGTCACTGGCTTCATAACAGAGAAATTGAGCAGCAGTTTGAGAGAATGTTTTGGCTTTTTTTTTTTTTCTTCTCTCCCACAGTACTCACCTTGTAAGGGACAGTATGGGAGAAAACAAGATATTTGGGTAAAAGTAAGATTCACAAGCAATCAAGGCGGAAATCATTATCCTTGACACTATCTCAACAAGTAATCTCAATTGTAATGAATGGGACTACCCTTGTGAGAATAGCAAGCAGGTTATGACTAGTATAAAACTTTGGAGTATACAGTACATTTTCTCAGAGAGGCCAGTGATTACATTTCTTCAGCAACATTTTAGTTAGTCTGACTATTACAAGTCAACACAAAGAAATCCACCACAATGCACAATGAAGCACTACAGCCAAATTCCACTTCACTTCTAATCACAGGTATGTAGAAGAAACATACGACTAAACTGAACTATTAACATTCATAGAAAGTATGGATAGTAATTTTGTGAGTTCAGACAGACTGTCCTGAAATTGTTTACAAACAGAAGGAAATGGTCACAGTAACCTGTGCAATGTGAATATATTTTAATTTTAATTAGTGATAAAAGACAATTAGTACAAGATCAAAAGAAACATCATGTAAGATTTAAAAAAAGGAGATTCACAACTTAAATTTTGGTTTTAAGAAAATTTTTGTTAAAGCAGTAACAATACCAGAAAAGGGAAGCAGTAAAATAAAAGAAAGCTCACTTGCTTTCTAACTACATATCAGACTTACTACTTTTTTAATCTTTTCCTTATATCTGAACTGAAAACGTGGTGTGGAGCAAAACAACTGCAACTGCTCAGTTTAGAGAGCTCTGATGCAACGAGGGAAACACTGATCTTTTACTATACCTGTATGTAATCTCCTTTTTTGCCACAAAGTGTTATTCCCACATCATAAAGCTAGACAATCAGTGCAAGATCTAGCAGAACTTTTTTTTTTTTTTAAATTAACCTATCTGCAACTTTCAATGTCTAAAAGTTTTGTAAGGTAAAGTTTACAATACTGCATGCAGTCTTTATGCAGAGAGAGAAAAAGACAGAGAAGAAACCATGTAAATGGAAAACGTGTACAGAAAACTGTCATTAGCAAATCGAATTTTGATATGAAATGCCTCTACGCTTTCAAATCCATAAGGACAGGGAAAATGTCAAATGAAATGCAATAGAATGTAAAAAGGTAAAAGTAATTTCAACTCTTATGACTGACTTTTTTTTTTAAAAGCAAACTAATGAACATTTCCTTGTTGAACAAATTTTCACCATACAAAATACATCTGTAGAAACAAAAATGCTACAAATTCATGCGCTAGCATTTCCTTAATGTTCCAGTTACAATAATTGTGAGAAACAGCTGCCCTGGCATATGTCATCATTAGACACAATGTGTATTTCCACTACAAAATATAGCTGCAGATCATACTTCAGCAGTTCAGAAACCCCAATATTTCATATACTATTATAGTTTAGTGCTGCTGAAAGAGCAAGGAATCAAAAGAAAAATGAAGAGAGAAATGATTCCTTTCAAATTTAGTTCAATCTTTCACTTTTTTCCCTACCAGCCTGGCAATATTTTTGTGAAGCACAAGGATGTAATTTGGGTAAAGACACAAAGGAAACAAAGAGCGATGGAAGTCAGTTTCAAAATAATTTCTGAAAATTCCAAGTTATGTAAAGTAAAATTCTATATATTTACAACAAAAGTCATGGGATCACCCAATCAAATAGAAATGCAGTCTTTAAAATACATTCTAAAGATGAACTCACTGACAACAGAGTATCAACATGTAACCCAAACCAATGCTGTTTCTTATTATCTAAACATAAAGCACATTTTTATATGCTAATTGATTGTGATTTCTCTAAACAGTTACATGCATGATCACTAATTCTCTCTCTAATATTATAAGCTTTCTTTCTCTCCCACACAGTGCTAGTCATGTGAAAGCAGGAAAAACAAAAATTCTGAATGAAGAGACGGTAAATATCTTGACCAACATGTTCTGGAGAGAGGTATTCTAACCAAGAGCACTGCCTAAAGAAAATTTAGGCAGATAATGGAAGCATATGAATTAAAAAAAAAATATCTCAGGCATGCAGTCATGCAACAGCAGGCAAATCAGGTGTATTTTTCTTTTATAGACATGGATTATGGCATTAATTATATTCTTTAATTATGCTACATCACTAAGATGCCATAAAGGAAGAAATAGCATAAAACATGAATTAAGCACATAAATGTTTTTATTTTTGCTAAGTGTTCAAAATAAACTATTTTTAAGACATCTTCATCAATAAACAATATAAAGGTATGAAGAATATTTCATTATTTGTAGCACTCACACGTAGAGCAGTTTTTCCCTGTGCTATGACATGGTTACCAAGACACTAAGTATTTCTAACCACCACGTGCAGGACGCAGACAAGTTAAAGTAGAAGGCTGTACTTGAAGCATTAAAATTGCTTACTTGAGGCTGAAGAGCACGTCAATTAGGAAGCAAGCTAAATGGAGAAGAAATCAAACCAGAACAACTAGAGGTGAATTTTTCATTTTAGAAGCTGTTCTTTACTATCAGTAATTTTCTTCTGCTCTCAGCAAAAGATAAGCTTTAATTATTTTGTGGAGAAAAACATCACTGTATTATTAACAAATGGCTGACAGTACAAATGTCAACATATTCATAACATGAAAGTTCACAGCTAAGCTACTTATCAAAGAAGATGGTCATGTTTTATGCTATTTAGATTAGCTCTAAAATAGTTGGTCTAATCTGAGACAATCGTAACACGACATTATTTCTGTGCTCTAGAATCTGCCACATAAAAAGGCCATTACGTGCAGGATCTTACCACTAACAAGGCACTATCATCAGTATGCTGAGACCTTCTGGATGGAAAGGGACACTGGGAGGTGGGAGAGATGGAGTAATGTCAGAAACACACAGAATGTCAGAAACACACAGCATGTGAATAGACAGACATTTTGGAAAACGTACTGCTTGTGAGGCTGGTTTGTTTTTTTAATCCATAAAATATATGTAACTCTAAAGGAATATATAGCCACATGGCCTATGAATTATAATGTATTCACACTACTTAAGGAATCAATTATTTTGCTTTCTGTGTTGTCTCAAGCAAATACAGACAACTATGTACTCACAGTTCTTACTGCGGTAGAACAAAGAACCCTTTAAAAGAATAAATTAAGAATAGAAGAACACCAAGAAGGAAAAGGAGCAAGAACTATTTCAATTACTGCATGTTTCGGCAATTTTCTAACAAAAAAGAGTTAGTTGGAAAATGCTGCTAAAGAACTATTTATATTCATTATATTATTAAAAGTTTTGATCCGATTAACAGTGCCAAGTGAATTATCTTCCTCTGGAGGAAAGTGGGGATGGCAAGCAGCGGAAGAGCTATTACTATGCAGAAATATGATGCAGAGAGGGAACAGATGTTATTGGCTCAGCTCTGTATATTCTAGAAGACAGCCTTGCATGATTTGTGTTCTCTGCTAACTTACTGGTTTTGATTATAAAACTACAATACAATAAAACTTTAAAAGAATTATTTTTCTGATAGCCCTCAAAATTCTAAGGCTTAATCTTTCTCGGATAACTGGTCTAATGATTGGAAACTGGGAGAAAACTGATCAATGAAGGATGACTTGTGTGAATATTTCCGCTAGAAGGCAAACTGTACTGCTCACAAGGAGCATCTTAAAATGGAATATGAAATGTATTTTCTGTATAGAACATAGAAAACATACAAAAAACAATAAAACACACTCAGACAGGGAGTCTGCATGAACAGAAGGAAATATTAGACTGGTCCTATAAGCAAAAAAACTCCAACTCAAGTATTAATAAAAAGTGTGAAAAAACTATGCTATAACCCCATCCTGAAGAGTTCTCCACAATGAGGAAAATCTCTGACAGAGAGAGCTAAGAATTCAGGTACTGACATCCCTAGTAATACTCATATTGGACTCTTACCTCACTATCCAGAGGACTTTGCTTCTGAGGACTTAAGGATGCTTTTTGCTATAGAAAGGAAGGAAAAATGAAAGATCAATTTAAAAGAATGTAACAGGGAAACAAAAGCTCAGAACAAACTTGCATAATTTAGAAGTGTTTTTAAACAAAGGAGTCTTAGTTTTTAAATAAAACATGCATTGGGGAAATTGCAATTTTCTGTTCAGTTGAAACTTCACTGACATTATTAGTAAAAAAACAGCCTGTATTTCATATGAAAACAAAAAACTCAAATTGTTGTTGCATATTAAAGATGCATAATAAACCCAAAATATAACCCAAGGGAGGAATTAAACTGCTGCCTAAATAAAGTGCTCATAAATAACAAAGACAACAGAAGGAAAAAAAACCAACCAAAACTCCAAATGGCTCATCAATGAGTAAAATGCATTCTAAATATCCAAAGTCTTAACTGAAAGACTGAGTTGAATCTTTAATAAAAGCAGCTTTTCTACAAGACATTGCCAGAGGCCTGAGATTAGTTGGTGCTAATGAAAAGCCTAGTTTCAGGTAGCTAAAAACCTTTTTCTAAACTAACTTTATACATTACATAAACGCAATAAAACATAATTTTCCTCTCTGCAGACCACCTTAAGCCCAAAATATTAACTGTAACATTAAGCAGCAGACTACTTCATATTGACTACAGTGAAAAAGAAAGCAAAGACGCAGCATCCACAGAGTATCTGATATACCATAAATTTGCACCCTGGAGGTAACTTTTACCTGGAGGTAACTTATTCATGCATCATAAAATATCAAAATAGATCAGGCGACATTATCTTCTTGTGTGTGTGATTGGTTTCTTCTCTGCCAAATTTGTCTTCAAAACTAAATTGCCTCTATGCCTTCTCAAATAAAGACCCCCTCTTTCTTATACCAATCCCGTCGCATCTATGTAAATGAAATATTGAGAGAATGAGGGGGACTATGTAAAACCAGAATTCTTTGCAACAACAACTATATTTTGGGTAAATCTCTTCCATCTTCCTCCCCAGCTCTAGTTTTGTCTATGTTAAGCTACAGTACCAACACTGAATGGGCTTAAATACTATTTCTCCATTTTCTTTATAAAGAAGTGCCATGCGTGCCCAAGGATGTAATGATGTTGGCAATTAATTTTCATTACAGGATTCAGAAAAATAAAGTATCAAGCAGGTACTAAAAGGAGGTACCTTAACAAAGTCAAGGACAGCTTCTCTCTGAATCTGTTTTGTTCTCATCCTGTCCTCCTCGTACTGAAGCGCTGCTAGCTGGGCCTCCCGACGGGTACGCTCTATGTGCCTGCGGTGCAGCTCGGGATCTGTATTAGGCACCTGGAACAAAACAGTGCACCAGGCTGTAAAGACAGAGCTGCACAGGGTAAAAGAGATAGAACGTAAGCCATAAGACAAAAACCTATGTCTTATGGCTAACGTCTGCTTGGGTTTGCATCAAACTCATCCAAAAGAATAAAATAGTGGAGTTCAATGTGTTACCTGACTGTGGTGACTTGACAGAGAGAGGAAGTAAGCTGAATCAGCTGGGGGTCTGACAAATGGAAAAACAGAGAGTAAGTATACTTTTTATCTTAAACAAATTTTCACACATCCGTTGTCAGTAACACACAAGTATCTCATCAAATCAGAGGAGTAACTCTTTAGTAAGCAAAGCTGTTAAACCAACTGCTGCGATAACAATTTAACTCATTGTGCATGACAGATTTTGTGCAGTCATTTCTATGTCTTCTGCTGAATTGTGACAAAATTTTTCTACAGCTCAAGATGTACCAATGGGATTGTATGCTTGGCCTATTACATTGAGATACTCAGTACTTTATAACCAGTTCTTAAAGAATGGGTAACTAACCAATCCAGGAACTTTTCAGATGATCCTCATTTAGAGGAACAAGGCTACTATGGCTATTTTGCGGGGAGGGGGAATACAATTAATCAGTGAAAACTGTATGTTTCTTTTCCCTACCTCTCTGTCCTGTCCACATAATTCCTTAGTACTTGGTGATGCTCTCTGTCCTGCATCAAATTTAGAGTTTCAGGTCTTCGTAACTCATCAGTATCCCTGCAGGTAAACACCAGGTGGAAGGGGAATTGGCTATTGATGCATATAAACTACTGTCAGATGAACTCTTCTCTAGGTTACAGCTGTTTTTCTAAGAGTAACTGCCTATACAGTGAGCTTCAGATAACCACAAAGGTGAAATTTAGGATGACTAAAGAAATCATGTTGTGATATCAAGTCAGATCACAACTACTGCAGTTCATAATTAAATAAACGTAACTTGCTTAATCAACAATGATTTCAAAATACACAAAGACAGAATCTCTCTTTTAAGACTATATTCTGCTTATTGTAGGCCTTATTCTGCTCCAGAAACAACAGAATTATTTCTAAACATTAGCACCCTCTGATATTTTCAGAACAAATCTGCTCCCTTCACCAATCAAGTGATGACTTCCTAACTGTCAGTGACAGAAGCCAAAGTCACAAGGTAAACAATAACCAATCTGTCTCTTATGCATCATATCAAGAACAAGAGAGAAATTTTGCAGTCAGTTCTTTGCTAGAAGGTTGCTGCTAGCACTGAAACAATTCCCAAAGTCCACAGTCTACAGCATGTTCCCTGCCATGTTGCTGCCTAGAAAGAAAGTTGACGGAAATTGAGTGGCTTACTCTTGACAGCCTAGACTCTGCAGCCGTCGCTCCTTGGGCAACTATGGAACAGAGACACACTTACCAATGCATTTCCAATAAATGTCAGTCCTGCTGACTGTGTGTAGGCTTATTACCTATTCTGCACAGAGAAGCTTAAGAGATAGGGAAGACCCACATGGTACAGGTCTCCTCTGCTACTTAAATTAGTACTGATGCACATGACAAATCCATAACTGTGCTATTTCGAACGGACAGGACTGGGTTCAACTGAGTGCCAAGAAGCATATTCAGACCATAGTGCACACAGTTTTGTTGCATCAGGAATGCACCACAGTCTGTCCAGAGACACAAACTGTATTTACTGAATTGAATCAACTAATGTAAGTACTCCTGAGAAGAAGTCAGCATTACATCCAACTTTAAGAGTTTTAATGACTCCAGCATGCTGAAAAAAAACAACCAAGAGGCTGCCTGCCAAGGCATTTGCACAGAATTATTGTGGAAGCAGTCTACAGCTTGTGGTTGCCACAAATGAAATATTTGACTAATACAAGCTTAAAATATAAAAAATTACTCATTGTCATATGGCTGTTTTCACACAGTTTTGAAGGCAATAACAAAACAACCTTTTTCAGTGCCTCATTAAGAACTTCACTCTGCTGCAGCATAATATAAGTTACAATACATTTAGATCGTTGATTAACTACCTCTGCATGAAGATCTGCTGCCATCCTTAAGTTAAATTTTGAAAACACTGGATAGCCTAGTAAACTACAAATTCCTTTATCATTAAAATCTGTCTATGTAAACAGCAGCTCTCTCCTGGCTAACTGGCCTTCTCTTATTGTTGTCAGATGTGTCGTGGAATCCAGTATTTGTAAAATCTAATTATTTCCACATTGACCACAAATGTACAAATAGAAAAATAAACAAACAAAAAAACAGCCTTTCAAACCAAGAGCCCTCACTTTATTTGGGGAGAACACGTCAGACTGCTGTATTATTTTATGCCTTACCTGTAGACACTACAGGATAAGGAATGTTGATATATGCTGAAGGAGTTACCCTCCTTTACATCAGTACAGCTACTGTATCTGCACATTTACTGCACATTTCAAAATGCCTACCAAAATGTTACCATAACTCTGGAAAAAAAATTACACTCTATTCTTGATTTCATTTTCTCTTTCAATACTATTTTCAAATGCCATCAAAAGTTAATTTCTACTGACAGTGTAAGTAATGACATACTTATGGCTAGCAGTTGTCGTTTTTTTTTTAAACATTCCTAGTACAATTGAGCTGGTTTTCTGCTGAGTCCTCGCACATTCACTTTCACTCCACAGAATACTGAAGTGCTTCAATGGCACATTAAAGGTTCTATCAATTTTTATTTCAGTTCCTTTAACAAGAAGCTATAACATTTGCTTATCTTCTGTTCTTTTAACTAGACACCCAAAAGCCTTTTCTCAAACTTAACCACCTCATTTATATTATGTCCAACTCTGATCCGTATTTTACAGATAAGCATTCCCTCCAATAAGTCAAGTAATCATTAAAGAGTATGGACATAATTCAAAAAGTCTACTTTGCTAAACTAAGCAACCTGTTTTCAGCATTGACTCCCATTCTATCCCTTCCTCCCCTGATGTAAGCTCATGATTATGGCACAAGAAAGCACATTTTAAATTTAGCTAAACCCCCACAGTACTACAGCTGCCAAGAGTTAACCAAGAACGCGACCTCATAGCACATCAGACACTCCACAGTAACTCTCTTTAGGCTTCCCCATAACCTGCAGTATAAGTACATTTATCCCTTCTGTTCTTTATGTAGTGTAGCTTAAGTCAACTATTTCATCAAAGCACAAATTAAATCATGAAAAGCAGATATTAAATCAGTTTAAAAGTACACACTTTAAATTTGGCAGATTTCTTTAACCAACTGATTTAAAGCCAAGCATTGGCCTAGAACAGCCAAACCTTTTGGTCACTGCCATTATTAGAATACAAATTCCTTATCTGGAGCAATAATTTATAAACAAAGTGTCATGCACATTTCTGGTGAAGCAACAGAAAATAAAGTCATTTTCTAAACACAATCAGTAAATATGTGCTCTGCATTCATCATGAAACTTTGGATAAAATTACTGTTACCACATATTCTTACCTGTTTTGATGTAAATATCGTCTTGTATCCTCTGTTCTCTGAAATTCTCTGACAGATACAGGCTTTACTGATGAGCCCTAAGCAAAATAAGACAGAAGACTAAGTTAGCAACTTATTCAGAAAACTGCACATTAATGTCAAAGAATCTCTTTGTAGAGAAACATGTGTAACTACTGGTATTCAAAATACCTGACAAAGAACCACAAAACACAACTCATGGATGTTCATTTCCAACTAGGTAAGCTCGCTTTTATCTTTTCCTCCAATTTAAACAAACTTTAAAGATTAAATATGCCTACTGATGAATTTAAGAGTTTAAAAATCTCCACTGTTAAGAATTGTGCAGAGAAGTACATGTAGGTAGAAAATAATTAATGTCATTCAGAAGACATGTAGAGTCAAGCTCTGGAGAATGTACATGCAAGTGTACAGCAATGCAGTCTGGATTCCCAGAAATACAGCATACAACAGCTGATGGTCTTTCATGATGACCTAAAGACAGGACACAGATGGACTAAGAAAGCAAAACATGGGATGAATGAAAACACCTTAGGCTTAATTTGAGCTATGAAATCATTTATCCATTGGGAACAGAGACATACTGCCCTTCGCGTTGTTTTAAAACTGTTACTGACACCCATTAATGTAGGAAAATGGAAACTTTTCAAGACTAACTTGCCAGTTTTCACTCATGCCTGTATGCATGTTGCTGTATTGCATACAGTTAGCCTTCCTAACTAGCAGAGTATTTTGGATTGTCTTTTTAGAGAACCTACTGTTTCAGTTAAAAGCAAACAGTTTAATTTTTATGAATAGATAGATCCCTATGAATAGCTTTTTTGATGTTGACCAATGCCTTCTCACTACCTACAGCAAAGAGTCCTTGGGTTATATTGCCAAGAGTTGCCTTTTCCGAGTTTTGCTCTTGTGTCTATGCTGTAAATGGCATCAACTTTTGTGATTTGCTACTGAATTGATGAGATTTGCAAAATGAACACACCTCCCTGATATCTCCATCACTGATTCTAAACACAGTAAATGTGGCTGAAAATATGTTTCTATGGGTTCAATTTCTGAGGACGCTCTCCAAAAGGGTACCATCCAAATGACTTAACAGGGAACAGTTTCCTCCATGTGTTCACAGCAGTGGCTGCTACAACTGGAACAAAGGCACCCTCCAGTTTTGGCAATTCATACAATTTCAAAGCAACTCCAGTGAATTTTATTCAAGTGCACACTAACTTGTGCACAGTTAGAAAACAATGAAATTACATGAGCTAAAGAAAAGTGACAGGAACTTTATTGGAATCATTGCCCTCGTCTGTGCCAGAAAATCATTTGGATACAGTAAGCAATCAATAAAACCAGCTATTATTAGAATAGTACATGCTCACTTTGCCCCTTTCTAAATTTTTTTTTTCTTTTTCTTTTTTCTGTGAGAGAAAATGGGCAATGCCCAGAGTTACTCACACTTGTTTCTAGACATTTGTAAAAAGCTGTCCAGAGAACCTTCTAACCTGTCTAGCAATGATTTTACTTATTGTTCATTCAACTGTGTATTTTTACTGACTGAGAACAGTTTCATGCCAGGTTTATCCGAAACTACAGACAGCGGTTTTTGTTCAGAAAGGTGACTATATGCATAACCAATTCTGTACCTCTGGGTTCAGAGCCTTGCTCAACAGTGAGAAAGAAATTTTTTGCAAAGAGTAGACTTTCTGAAAAGTCTAAATATTTAAGTTAGTCTAACTTAAAACGGATGCTCAAGACATTGAGTTCACCGGTAAACAACTTACAATCAACATTAACAGCCAAATTAATGGACCTGCAGAATTCCTGTATTTAATCTTTACACTGATAACAATCAATAATTTTCCCTTGATAAAGCCAGTATATATTCAGTACTACCAAGTAAATGTTAACAATTTTCTAGATATCACCAGTTACCAGTTGAAAGCATCAACTGCCATGTTTTTTGAAGACAGCACTCCTTTGGAAAAAACATTTACTTCACATATGCCTAAACCACAAGCTTGCAAGAACCCACAAGACAGGAAAACAGTGTGGCTGGGGCAGACTTATTCCACATATCCCAAAGGGCACCTGGGAGCAGCTTAACACTCCAGCTCTGCCCCTCCACAAAGCACAACACTATGTTTTTGCTCCAGATCAGACCTAATTTTTTTTTAAATTATTATTTAAAAAAAAAAAACAAC